GCTGAAGGACGGCCTGCAGTGCATCTGTGAGGAGATGAACGACATCCACGCTGCCTACCTGGTCATGGGCCAGAAGCTGGACGGCCATCTGGTCATCACCTCTCTGAAGCGCTGGCAGAAGGGACAGCGAGAGTTTAAGAGGATTTCCCGCAGCATCCGCAAGCTACAGTGCTAAGAAGGAAGAAACTGCATGTGTCACTGTTGAAGAAATGGTTTGGTTGAGCTCTTTTCTAATTATCTCTCTCCAGGTCTCACAAAAGTTGCAATTATGGTTCATAGATTCCTATTTAGAGTCTAGCATGGACATTGGACATAGAAACAAACCATTGTCTGTGTTTCACATTGGTTTATAGTTTTAAATGCTCAATATCTAAGCAATTTATAGCATATCTGCTGGCTAAACTCTATAATTATAATTCCTATAAATGTAATGTTCTGAAAGGTTTAATTCCCATATACACTCAAACTAAATTCATCAAAAAGGCCTCAATATTTTTGAAAAGCACACATGGCTAAATCCCACAGCCATGACTTTTGACACAATTATATCTAGTACACACTATTACAGTGAGTAGGTATGAATTCCCTAACCCTAACCCTAACCCTAACTTGTATAAATGTAAGGTTTTTGTTTTCCTCCAATGACTCCCATTCATTTTGCGGATATTGGGCGCCCCTTAGTGGCCATTTTTAAAGTGCTGTGTGTTTTCATGGGGAGCTGCATTTGCTGTCACCTCATTATTACACTCAGCTGATGTGCAATACAATCACTATTTACATGGTTAGAGAGAAAACTAGCAGCACTTTAAATCCAGGATTAAAATTATGGACTCACAGGCAGATGTGTCTTACTGGTAAATCCTACAAGAGGGGTGAGTTTAGAAAATGATAATACAACTTTTTTGTTCATGGGGCATTCCTCAAGGGTTAAATCATCAGCAGTCCTCTGCTTAGGAACATTCAAAACACCTTAAAGGTAAACAAAATACATCACAAAGGTCAAGAAACAGTAACCCATGGTAAATTAAAGTGAACTCTGGTAAGATGTTTGGGGGAACTTAATTGTTCCTACAAAAACGTTATTCGCATCTATTTTGCAACTATTTTCTATCATAGTTCTACAAAAACAAAACTGATGGATATTGTGTGTGGCATATTGAGTGAAGTTGGATCCCTGTGTGCGTAGTGTGATGTTCAAAGACAAACAATAACGTGTGTGCTTTTGTATTCCTACCGTTTTCTCAAGCAAAAATGAGAGATAGCTGGCTATATTCTCTTCCTGTTCAACATTTTAATACTCTTGGTTATCTTTTTGTACTTGAGCTACTGCATAGTTTTCTACAATCGTATGGCAAAACAAATATTTTTCTACTTCAGACTTTCATATTTCATTTAAACTTTTATGTCGGATTGCATCTTCATCCTGTTTGGTGAGTAACACAAGTTGGTTTATATGTACTATTAGAGGATGTTTTTGGTTGGTAGTGTTGATTTGATGAGAAGTTACTTGTTAGGCACTAATAATCAAGTGGTTGTGTGTGTGTATATGCAATGTAAAGTATTTTCCAAAAGTATTACTGTGTAAATATCAAATACTTCCTTTTATTCTTGTGTAAAGTTTTTAGCAATTAAAAGCTGCCTACATGTTTTGAAATGACTCATTTCATTGTTGTGTGTCACAGGATACCAATATACTCACAAATAAACGGGGAATAAAGGACTGTATATAATTATCATCGCTACAGTAAGATGGAAAATAAACCCACAGAAGCCTTTCTCATATTTATAGTCTCTCTTTACAGTGTATGGTATTGGTAATGAAATACCACCATCTAGTGGAATCCAATGATAATACCTGTTCATGGTAATAATTGGATGCATATGATGCATTTGATAATTTATTTGCAACACAATGCATTTTAAGTTTTATTTTCCAATGACATATACCATAATAAAAATAAATCTTGGTCTTTCCGGATAGTGCCAACTTATACGTCATGAACATGTTGATATAGGCTGTTTATGCTTGGCGGTATGTTAAAGCTAGTGTTGTATATTCTGAGCATTTATTTGAGAAACGCATGGTAACAACTTGTTATGTTCCTGATACCCTTTTGTTTTGCACTAACAGTGGGTCAGAATAAGGCCTGGGGATTTTACATTTTCAAATAGGTAATTAAATTCAAGAAAAATATTCTAAAAGGCAAACTTGTTGTTTTTTCTCATAAACTTTATCTAATATTTTAGATAATCCCATTTTATCTACATAGAAAAACACAATGACCGATATGAACTGTTGTATTTGCTTTGTCAAGTTATCACTGGTTCGATTATATTTTGTTATTTTACTGTTGTGCCCTTTTCCACTTTTATTTTTTGTGAACCTCAATTGGACTTTATATTTATTTGCCTTTACTTGATTTAATAATTGTATTTTTTGGTCAGAAGTATAGTGTAATGTCTGTCAGTTTCCCTCAGTTAATGGGGACTTTTGCTTGTTGTGTGTGACATAAAAGTCCCAAGTTAAAAGATTACATATATAATGATATGTAATCTATAGGAGAGATGTAGCACAGTCTCACATTTGAGAAGTGAAGACTATCATTTTTTTAAATTATTTTTGATTTAAAAAAATGTTTTATGTAAATCTGTTTTGTAACTTATCATGTCCAGAATTCAACAAACTACTTGGAGGTATCAACTTATGTTGTTCGTGCAGTAAAGTGTGTCCAGGTAGTTTCACCTAAGTCATGACTCATCGTTATGCCAACAGGTGAAAGTACCTACTGGACTGAGAGGTTTTGCCACTCGTCCAAAAGGCTGAATCAGTGGGGCAGTCCCGGGTGAGTTCCACGTCTTTGTGCACACTGTCATTTGAGCTGAGTTATTGGAGTCACATGATCAAGGTGCAACTACAAGTGAAATTAAAATGGGAGTGTCAGGGTGGCATTTAAAAATATTCAGGCTACTTCTCTTCAGAGTATCAGGTGAGGTGGGAAGCCACACTTGCTTCAGAATCGCACCAAAAGTGAAACTGGCCTAAAATATTCACTCAAATTCCCGCCATGACAACTCTTCCCTCATGGGTTTAACACACTTCACACCTTGACTCATGTGGCTCTGTCAACTGTCACGTGACTGCCATGTGGCCTCAATGACTCACCTCAACATCCATTATGTGAAATTATGGTGTGTTGACCCAGAAATACCTGGGACTCCCCACCGGCCAGTAGCACTAATGATGCTCTTTAATGAATCCTAAAGGGGTTTAACTCTACACCTACAGTCTAGACAGCGGTTTCAATTTGACCTGATAATGATTAGATGAATGATTGTTTGTGTAGTGCAGGGTAAAATCCTAAAGGGAATGGAGTTTTTGAACATTTTAAACAAGTTGTGTGTATGAATCTGTATGCATTGTTTGTTAAAGGGCTGTGCGTGTTTTCATATAAACCCTGAATTGGGCCTGCAAATCATCTAGATGCCTTAGATACAGAGTTGTGATTGAAATAATTATTATATAATTACAAATTGACTCGAGTATCTCCATTATCTGTGACTTTATACATCTACTCCAGCATATTTCAAATGGAAATATAGTTTTTTAATTTAACTACATTAATTCAATTGTAATCACACTTTACACTGTTGATTGATACTCAATCATAAATCAAGTGTATGTGAAACATCAGGAACAATAAATTATGTTGGTGCCTTTTTTTTAAACTAATAATCTTACTTATTCTTTACTGTTGTCTTTTTTAACTTGGAATCAATTCAATTTATTTGTATTGAACTATCCTGAATTAATTAACTGAAATGTCAATATGTCAATTCAACACCTCAGGGAAGAGATGCTTTGCTAATGTACTTTTTCCCTTCTGAAATACAAGCATAATCTCCAAAAACATACTCACTATACTGTATGATATTGCTGTGAGTTTAAAAAAAACATATAACTAACAGTATGTGTGGTAAACTCAGGTATTATGATTCTATATGCACTAAAGGCTACAAATCAATACCTCTTAAGTATTTGGGGAATTTGTTGCGACACTCCAAATGCACTAATGTAAAGTTTAGGGGGCGGGATGCCTGGAAACTTTGTAAACTACCGATGAGCGAATTGTATGCTTTTGAAGGAATTATTATGTGTCATCCCATGTAAAATATTAGCTAAAAACAAAGGGGATTTCATTTAAGGTCTATATGAAGCTACTTTCTGTTTCTTATGGGGGGATGAGGTGCATTATCTACTTCTACTTCTTACATCCAGTGGTGGTAGTAGTATGTAGATCCTTTACTTAAGCAAAAGTAGAACTACTTCATTACAAGTGAAAGTCCTGCATTCAAAATGTTTAGAAGCATTGTCAGCTAAATGTACTTAAAGTATCACAAGTCAAAGTACCCATTATGCACCATGGCTGTTTTGAAAGTAGTATATTCTAGAATATTAAAGGATTCCTTCTTTTAATTGCTTTACTGTTAAATAAGTGTAGTGGACTCAAAAATACAATACAAAATGTGAGGCAGTAGAAGTATAAAGTAGCATTCAATTTGAAATAGAGAAGTAAAGTACAAGTATGACACAATAATACTTAAGTACAGTACTTGAGTAAATATACTTAGTTACTTTACACAACTGCTTACACCTGTGCCACGATATGTGCAAAAACAAAACAACACCACTCATTTTGCGGTTAACAGTTTTGCAAACAGTGTTATCATTTTTCCTTTGCGTTCACATGTAGGCCTACCTCTTGTGTGGAGAGTGCAAATTTACGACGGCTGTGAAGGCAGCATAGCCATTGCTGATGGTACCTTTAAACTGTTTAGCTATTTGTGAAGATTTGTGTCTCTTTATTTTCTTAGCATTTTGTGCCAGCAGGCTATAAAACCCCTATTACCTTCCAATGACGGTGCACCGTGAGTCTGAGAGCAGACTCAGTTTGACGAAGCTAAAAAAAAGTCCGCGGGGAAGTTCCCCAGGAAATCCCCCAGTGGGGGATATTATTCTCCACATCGGTGCGCAAAACCTTCGACACAATTCACTTCCTCGGTCCATTTCTAAAGACACAGGGCGATAAGAAGAGCTGTCAAATGCTGGATTATTAAAAGACTGATCATACTGTGAAAGCTACAGAGCAAACTATGGATAACGTCAGTATGAACTCGGATCTTCGTAGAGAGACCGTGCGGAGCTGCAGCACGCTCAACACTCTGTATCACGAGACGCGCCAGGAAATAGACCTCCTGAACAAACAGCTTTATGTTAAGGATAATATCATCGCAGACTTAAAAACGAGGCTGGGGAGATATGAGAGGATCTACGTGACGGTGGGAGATAACCAGTCTGTAGTCATAGGGCCGTCCAAGTCTCTGCTGGAGAGCCTGTGTAAAGAAATATGCAAACTGAAACAGAAGAGGAACGACATGGAGTTCAAGGCAACTCGACAAACAGAGGTAAATTCAGGAAAAAAACGGATCATTTGATGTTGTTCCATGCCGATACATGTTCCTACATACATAATAAAGCCTAAAATAAGCTGATGGGAAACATTTAGTACAGTGGAAAGGGTCTGTTTACCATGAAGGTACACTTTCCATAAGTATTTGTCAAGAACTAAGAATACACACTTGTTTCTGTCATCCTGCTGTGAGTTATTGAATTGAAGTCATGGCTATGTTTTAAACATTTTATTTTAAATGATTTACTGAAAAATATGTTCTAAGATATCCTCAGAGATGCAAGTAGAAATATAAATTACAAAATCATCAAATACAGAACATGTATTGGTAATAAACACAAGAATAATACATTGTATTTGTACATATTGAATGTTTATTTACAACAAAATATGTTCAAAGACAGTTGCAAGAAGATATGATTAAAACAGGATCAAATACAGAACATGTGTCAGTAGCAAACATCTGAATAAAATATTTTATTTGTACATATTGACTACACACAATATGCCCATTTCAAACTGATGTAGTCATTCAATTAATCTCTCCTTCCTCCTCCAGGAGATCCAGAGGCTGAATGCCCTGCTCAGGGAGAAGGATCTGGAGCTGGAGGGCGTCAGGGGGCAGCCGGACCACGAGAAGGACCGGGAGATCCACCGGCTGCACCTGGCCCTGGAGGAGAGGGAGCGGTCCGAGGCCACCAGAGCCGTACTCTGCACATCGCTGGCCGAGGAGGCTGACCAGATGCGCAGCCAGCTGGGAGCGACGGTGAAGGTGTGCCAGGAGCTGCTGGCCCGGCTGGAGAGGGATAAGAAGAACGGAGGAGAGGTGGAGGTTGTGGCAGAGCAGCACAGGACCAAGGAGGTGTGTGGCGCTTTGGCTGTGGTGATTCATTGTGAATTTGGTGTTTTAAAGGCATCATTGGCACTGTTTTTTGTTTTTGGGAAGGCACATTTGTAACCTCTCATCCATCATTTTTTACAGACGGCAGAGTCATCTGACATGAGTGGTTCTAACGCCCAAATCTGTCAACTTCAGGAGGAGAATCAACAGCTAAAGCAGCGAGTGACATATGTACGTTTTCACCCAGAATAAGTTTACAAGTTTTGTTCACTGGCATTCCTTTAATGTCTCCTTTAATCAATCGGTCACTAAAAAATGTTTTATTGACAATACTAAGGTGTTGTTATTCAACATCTGAGTGAAGTTCAGAGTCTGATCTAACATTATTGTTGTAATTTCTTTTTTAGGTGCAAAGTCTGAATACGCAGTGGCAAAAGTATGACTCCAGCAGGGAGGACTACATCAGAGGCTTGTGTCAGAGGCTGAAGGAGACACCCAGACAGGGTTTGATGGCTGGGCTCGGCTCCATAAGCACAGAGTTGCTTCATCAGGAAATTTCCAGGCTCAACGGCTTACTCGAGGAGAAGATGAATGAGTGTGCAAGGCTGAGTAGAGGAGTGGAGGAGACAAGGAGGCAGGATAAAGTGCGGATCCAAACTCTGGAGCAGCAGGTTGGTGCTAAACCATTTCAGTGCACTTTAGTATTCTGCTACTTTGAAGACTTTGACTGTATGCATCTTGGGTTTTATGAAGAAAAAAGACTAACGGTTATTTTCCCAAATAAGGTCCTCATCTACGAAGAGGACTTTAAGTCGGAGCGTGCTGACCGAGAGCGAGCACATGGCAAGATCCAAGACCTGAAGGAGCAGGTTCATCAGTTGAAACAGCAGCTACACAAACAGGTGAGACCACAGTCCTTAAAGGTGCTTTAACAAATTAGTGTATATTTAGTAGGCTGATCAAAGTGAGTTAAATGATATTACTTGGGATAGATAAACAAATAGATTTTATAACAAGTGCTGCCTTTTCTGCTGCTTTCTGCATGCTGCACAAACTTAAGAAATGGATGGTTGAATAAACAATTGGGGACATTTTCAACATTCTTCCATTGAAGTGAAAGCAACAGAGACAAACAAATGATCACTTGCATTTCAAAGTGCGGGTTTGTTGACGATTACGAAAAAAACGGATAAATTGCTCACTCCTAATTTTACCAACTGTTACTTTTGATTTTTGGTACTATAAATGTCGTCTTGCAATCCTAACATTCTGAACATAATTGTCTTCAGCAGGGAGCCAGCAGAGACAACAGAGAAGTCGTTCCCATGTGTCGTGTGCACATAGCACACAGGATCACCTCGAGGCGACACAAGGACTCCTCCGAGCCTCTCCTGAGGAACCCTGCTGAGACGCAGCAGCAGCCTGTGGCCCCCGCCGCAGCCCCCCCCAGCCCGGCATGGGACGAGACCCCAGCTCTGTCAGAGCTACAGTGCCCACACTGCCTCCGCCTGTATGGAGACACGGACGCTGCAGAGTACCTGAACCATTGTGAAGAGTGTGCCAAACTATAAACGGAACAACACTCATTTAGGAAAAGACACTTATCTTTTGCTGACAGTAACTGAACACTGAAGAGCAGCACTACACGGCAGAACAAAACCTGAGTGGAGTTTCAGAAATTCACAGAGACTTGACTACAAATGAAATGACTGACTTGAGATGTTTGTACATAGTGAAGCAAAACTGTACAACCCAGAGTTCCCCTGTTGCAAGAGAAATGAGTTCATCAGCCTGCTCTAAATCTGCATAGTAAACAGTGTCAGGGCCGTGCTGTTCTCCTGTCGCAATGCAGGAGATTATTGTGGTGTGGAAGTGGATGCCAATGCAATATATCAAATGCCATATACCTCAATGTGTCAAATTACAAACCAGTTGCACTTTCTTAAAATGTTGCCAAAAACTGAATCATACTTTTGAACAGATTCATGACGCATAAGCTTCTTATTTTGGATAATGTGGTGCTATAAGTTGTTTATTTTTGGTTGAAATTAACATATATCTGTACTGTAAATTATATATTCTTAATAACAGATTTAAAGTATATAACTATTATATTAATATTTATTATTTTTGTATAAATAATTGGGAAACGGCAAAGCAATGTTTGTTGCTTTTTTCCACTGAAGTCATGAAACATTTTTCGTGGCCATTTTGAGATAAATACTGTTAAATATATTACAACTGGAAAACAATGTTTGAATCCACTTTTTTGTAATAGTGTAAAGATGTATCCCAACTGACAATAATATGCTTATTTTTGGAGATCTTGTGCTGTTTTTCTGAACACATTATTTTTGTAATAAAAGACTGTTTAACCACACTTTATCTGAAGGTGAATTAATACAGTTTTAATTATGTTTTATTATCGCCTGGTGTATTTTAATTTGTGAGACAGTCTGCAGCCTCGAGCTGTAACCACAGATCATAGCCTAACCACGAAAATGTTGGCGCTACTTAATCTAAGTCTGTGTGCATGTCTTTTAGTGTGTGTTAGTGTGTGTCCATCTGTGTCACGTGTATGTGCTTGCGCGCAGTGGAAAACCCCTTCCCAGTGTTGCCTGAATGGGCACGCTGTACTGTCACAGCCATATTCCCAGCTGTTGGCTGTAGAGAAACACTACAAGGGTACGGAGAGGACCAGAGAAAGACTTAGCTCAGGTTACATCCAACAACAGCCCGCGGATCAATTAGTGACCAAAACATTGTGCCGTCAGTCAGTCTGCAGTCTGTTTCATTCTGACACAAACAGGCCAGCAGTACTGTTTGTGATTCACTTGTCATGGGTTTAGTGTAGTAAGCACAGGAAGCTGGACATCCCCTGTTAAAAAGGAAGTAGGCAGTAGCAGTGCGCACAAAAGACGAAGACAAACAACTGTGTTCTCTGTGTGCGAGTGAACACATAAAAGTAGTATGTGTGTGTATGTATGTGCCACACATACATACACACACATACTGTACTACTTTTTGCTGCAGTTTTTGATCTGATAAAAGTTAATTTTTTTTAAAGAAGAAACAAATTCTTCTTAGAAATAAAAAGTTAAATATTTAAGCAATACAACTTGTTCAATTCAATATGCTGTATTAGCTTAATGTAACGAAGACAATATTGTCAGGTTATACAGGCTTAAAATAATATCAATATTACATCTTTACTTCATTCGGTATGACCAATAGATTATGTTAGTGTTGGCTAATCTCGGCAAAGTGTTGCTAGATATTTCGGTGTAACTGTATGACTAATATTTTGGGTCATACAAGGGCTAACTGTAACTGTAAAGTGGCTTAGTCTTGCTTTAAATACTATATTATTCAATATATTTCCGGATAATTTCTTCACTTGCTTCTTTACAAATGAAAACAATCGATATTCTAATCTAGTTCTCAGGAATAAAATAAATGCATATTGCCATATCTAAATCTTTATTAAATGTCTGAAGTTTTGGAGGAAGATCTGCCTTGGTGGCCAGTTTCAAATCTCTTCACCAAAACTAGAAGTGAGGTTGTTAAGCTTTATAAAAAGGACTGCTACAGGAAACAATGACGAGGTTTGACTGTTGACACAACCCTTTGAAATGCCACCATGCAGTATCACATGCTAACTTACTCATCAGCTAACTGGGGAAGATATTTGTGGCTGAATAAGTTTCCAATACATTTATTTAATTTGCATTTTTATTACACAACCGCCTGACTCCACATCATGTGCCCACAGAACAATTGTTTCCAATTTTCTCTTTAAAGGGCAACCTAGGTATCTCGTCTATATGAACCAACCACATGGTAGAAATACACACAGGCCCTAAAAAGGCCATGCGCTGTGTGCTGGGGATTCTCCCCCACGCCACACACACCCACACATTTACAGCAGGGTCTATAAGTGAGTGAACTTCCACAAAGTAAAATGCACTACCCACCAATCTGTGAATGGAAAAAATTGGTCACAAGTCCCCACCTGAGTGTCTGGGAACTTTTTTCTAAGAAACTAAAGCATTAATAAAAGTCAGGTGACAACAGATCAGTTCCTGTTGAAAACCAGTTTCAAAAGAGCGTCAGGATGTAGCGATGTAGCCGTCGTATACTTTAACAAAGAGCGAAAACTTCAGTCCGACACTTATCCAGACAAATACAGAAAGGATAAATAGGGCCTTTAATCTTATGTGTATCCTAAAAGAACGGGAATTTCCCGCCATCATGAGGGAATTCCCAAAACAAGAAGACAAGTTTATTTGAAAAAGGAGCCCTGTCGACTTAAGCAGATCATTTTTGATTTACTGTAGGTTGGGTGAGTAAATTGGTATTAATGCTGACTATTTCTTTTTGGAATATCCTTGTAAGAGAATCCAAGATTTCCGCTATCAAAAACAGCATTCTGGGAGATTGTAGCCAGGAAAGGGGGATTCCCTCTTTGGAATTGTTTGTGATCCCGAAGCACTCCAGACAGTAGACAATGAAAAGATCAGCGTTCTGATTACAAGCTACACGGATGCTGTGATCCCTTCTAATAATCCTATTGGCTCTCGCCCCTGTCATTGTCAGAGGACTTTAAGAGCACCATTGTCTCTCTTTCACCCACAAAAGACCATTTAGCACAGCAAAGGTCAAAAGAGGGAAACGTTTTTGAAAAGGCACATGATGGAAATGTGTTTTTAAGTGACTTTTATAAAACATATGAATCTATAATTAACTAAGGGAGGGGATTTACATTAGTGGTTCTTATCTCTGAATCTGTAATAAAAAATCCAAATCTGTGCCAATTTCATGTTTTATTTAGCTTGCGGCCCATGTTCACCCTCTCAGAAATTTTGAGCGGTGTTTTTGGGTTGTCTACGTTAGCGTAGTTTTTTGGGGCATTTGCTCAAACGTGGTATATCCCATGTTGCATCACTGATGACTGAGAGCGAGCACGCTCTACAAAATAGTCAGACAGCCATTCATACCTGAAATAAATTATGAGTCATGCGTTCTCTGGTGGCTCTCACAAACCAAAACCTTTTGTCTTCCTTTGTTTAAAGTGCATTTACCAGTTTTCTCAATGATCACATTTTGTGGGAGTGGTAACTTTTCATTGTGAAATCCCTGGGTTTTAAAAGATCTTTCACCGCACACTCACTCTTGAAACGCTAAGAGGAAGCAATCTGTGAGGAACACAACTGTAACTCACTTCCTCTACACCTCATCAATAGCTCCATTCTAGTTTCCTTCTGAATAATGAACACATGGAAAGTTCTTCATCTTGTAATTGTTGGGAATTTTACTTTATATCTCAATGTATTTTTGCAAATACATTTAAATTAAGTTTCATCAACTGAAGATCAGTTCTCAGTTGTCTCATGCTACCACAGTAACACATTAAGTCAAGAAAACTAAAACACTATATTGCTGAAAGGGAAGCTCAGCAGCTAATGATGGCTTCCAAAAGCTTGACAAAAATGTCCTTATGCATTTATTTTAAGTAAAACTGGTAAAAGAAAAACAGAAAGCAAAAGCTTGGGTTTTTGCTGATAACCAGTCAGTGCTGCTCAGTGTACGGTACCTCTTAACTCATCTACATCTAGATAAGCCAAAGCATGACCTCATTTCAGACTCTTCACCTTGAGGGAATGTACTTGATTTCAAAACGGCCTCAAATCAATTTTCCCTAGTTTCATGTGAATATATGAAATGGGGCTATATACTGTAAGTAAATACCTGAAGTAGCTCAATGGCAGCTAACTTTTATGTTTAACTTTGCAAATGAAACTGAAGCTCAGGATCTACATGACTCACAGTGGTCTTCTGTATTGATTATGACTTTCAATTAGTGGATTTCTCAAAAGGAACAGGTATTTATTTGAGAGTGTGACTCACTCTGCAACCTTGTGTAGCCGCAGACATGCAGAACAGCATCGACGGGTAAGATTCCTGCTTTGCCGCAAGCATTCGCGCTTTTCAGTACCTTATGCGCTTGATCACAATAGAAGTGACTGCATCTTGGAGGGGATTTTCTCGTATCAATCAACTTGAATTCAAATCAAGTTTAAATTCAACATCGGGGAAGAAATGCTTTTGCTTTCTGATAGTTACGAGAACTTCAAGAATGCTCGTGTTTTTCTGTCGAACATGAAGTTTCAGCCAGTTAGCACGAAGACTGGAAACAGGAAGAAACTGTTAGCCTAGCGTTACCAAACGAAAACGGCATACCAACACCTCTAAAACCCACTACACCGTTTGGTTTAATCAGTACAAGATGGATATGTAAAAAGATAGACAACCTAGCCTCGATCCCAAGCACTTTAAAGCACTTTACCTAAACAAGTTCCAGACTCAAAGCCCTTATTGTCACATTTAAATTGTTACAAAATGATGAATAATTTAGTTAGAGGTTCATAAAACATTGTATTGTTTTAGATCATAAGTTTTAATGTTTCCAGCTCCAGTCCTCTCCATGTCTGGTATAAGTTAACAAACATATGACAGGATTGTTACTTTTCATATATTAAAAGACTCTGCAGAATTAACAGCAAATTATGTTGAACATTTAGATTTTTTTCAAGAATTACATTCAACTTTAAGCATATTACTTTACCTTGAAAACATAATGGTTAAAATCAGTATTTAAAAAAATATGTTTAAGAGTTTTGATGACGCTAAATGGTTCTCTCCATGGAAAAGCACGTTGTCATTTAAACATGTCTGTTTTTACAGATTAAACAAATGAGATGTTTCCCCGTTTCCATTCTTTGGCCAAGTTAAGCTGGTCCAAATGGCTGATGCCTATAAAGGAAACATGAGTGGTATCTTTTTGTCTAACCCTACGCCAGAAAGGAAATTCATTTATTTCCCAACATGTCAACTATTTCTTAAAATGTTTGTGAGTGTTAATGCCCTTATGTGGAATTTTCTACTGCATGTAGGAAATAAGATTGGACACAAGACGCATAATCCTGCCATACTACTGTATTCCATCTTTCAAAAAAGAAAGACAAGATTTAATATTACTTAACAATATGTTAAAAGTAGCCAGTTTGGCTTCAGTGTTAATACAATATACACTCCATAACAGATTGATAGTGTGAGTATTGTTCTTTTTCATTTTCATTCTGAAAGTATTCTGATACAAGCTGGCTACAGATCAAAAATAAAGAAAACAAAAACTGTAACTGTTACACTTTTACTCAACAGTTTGTTAAACAGAACTTAAAAACCAAAAAAGAACATTGTCAAGTATTACGTTTTCCTCCCTAATGTGAAATAGGGTGGAGGTGGTGGAGGGGGGGGGGGGGGGGTAAGGGAGTGGAGACCAGCTGACCAAGCCCATTCCCTTGTCAATCATGTGGATGAGATGCCGTGCTAGGAGCGGGAAACGATGGGATAGTAAGCCACAATATATCTCAAATACAGCTTTTAATTAATTACATTTCTCTTTTTTTGTAGTTTCCATTGTCTCTTTTTTTTGGAAGGAAACCATCCAGACATAGTAAGCATTTTTTGACTACAGGTAAGCCAATATAAGAAAAAAAAAATATTTCAGACCATGGCTTTTTCAGTCAAGAGAAATGCCCAACTCAGACTTAAAGCACACAAGCACGCAAGGAAAATTAATCAGATGCAAAGTAGCATTTTGTGATTCTTTTTGTGTCATTTACTTTAATTTTTGTATCAGTTCTGCAGGTGGATCAGTCCGGATGGGTCTGTGTAGGAACCACACAGCGACAGGAACAAAGCAAGGCAGCGTGGGTGTGATTCGGGCACAGCGGGAGAGAAGTTCAGGGAGGATAACAGCTGAGTGGAGGTAAAGGGATGAGCGGGGGGGAACGTGTGGGTTGGTACAGCTGTTAAGGTACTGATTGTGTCCTGATAGTCACCCACTAACAGCCTCAGTGTGCAGCAAATGTAGCTTTCTTCAAACTAAAGTTTGACCAGTTGATGGAGAGCCGTTGGCGGGGCTGCTGGGCAGAATCCAAGCAAAACCTGCAGGGAAAAAAACCAAGCATTAACCTTCTGAGGAGCAATATGTAAATGTTTTTAAATATCTGTGGAGTATCCGAGGCCTTATTATCATGATTTCCTTTAAATAAAAGTAGACCATTTGGATGATTTAAATTGTGTGTCTATGTTTGCTTGCTAGCATATTGATGCATGTCTACCATACTGCTATTTAACTGTCAATCAGTGCATATGATTGTACTCATCCACTTCTATAAAACATAACTCAATAGTGCCACAAAATCCACAAGGGACCTTAAAAGTAGCTAAAAATAGAAAAGCTTCAAAATATCTCACCAGTATTTGTAAAGTTGGTTTAGTTATTACATTTTAATACACATACCTTTTGAAATATTCCACCTCTCTCTCTGTTTCATCCAGTTCAGTGCTATCCAAGTCGATGTCTTTGGGCAAGAATACATCATCTGAAAAAAAGAACATGGATGATGTTATTTGCTCCTATTTTGAATATATTTATTAGTAAGTGTATTACAGAATACGTATCTGAGAAAACCTTAGAAACATGGTGTTTTCGGAAGCAATGGCTGGTTGTTGTCAAAGTTAGAAATTCTACATATTTAATAAGTAGATTCTACGATTGTTGATAATGTTGTCTCTTCCCTGCCATACGGATTTCTTGTTTTTAGGTCAACATCTCTTTTGGGGCCCAGTTTCGCCCCTGCCAACTTGTGAAAGGAAAATATCTTTATGCAGCCACATTGTCAGAACTACTTTAAGAAACTCCCCGTACTTCCTGCTAATGGCATGACCTAAATGGCAGCAGCAATCTGCACAGAGCACACATTCACTAATCACACTGTGATGCCGTATATACACACACCACAGAATACCCAAGAGACCCGTGAGGAAATCGACCTGTTCTTGGTCAGAACATTCTGTTAGGGACACAGTTTGTATTTCCCTCACCTTGCATGCCATCTGCTGTTTCAGTTGTAAAGCTGGTCATGAGTGAGATTAGACAAACACCACTGGGCGTTACCACACACCTGAATCTTTGTAAATCACAATAATACCAACCTATTGAGGGGTTCTTGTCCCCCTTCTTCTTCTTGTTCTTCTTGTTCTTGCCTTTGGGCTGAGGGGACTCTGCACTGGGAGGTTTGCCGTTCTGCTGCTCCGAGGCTGGAGGGGGAGACGGGGAAGGGTTGGACACAGCTGGACTTCTCCGGTCTTCCTTTATTTGGGTCAGCTGTTGTTGTTGTTGCTGCATCTGCTGCTGCTGCCTTTTCCCAATGTTGCTTCTGATATTACACCTGTCCTCCCTCCTTGGTTCAGTGTTTGGGAGAGGAGCCAGAGCCTCAGCAGGCCGGATCCGCGTCGCTTTGGTGTCTGATGTAGTGGTGGGGGTGGGGGCGGTGCCGTTAGCTAGCTTTGCTGCCACATCGGAGCTTTTGGGTAGCTCTGGAGCTTTCTTTACAGCAGCCTCACAAGGGGCCACCTTAGCAGTCTGCCTGGCCTTCACTTTCCCGTGGACCTCGAGGTGAGATGACGGCGGGCCAATGTGGAGGAGGGCTTGACAGTTGGGGATGCTGGTCCCCCTCTCACTCGTGTGTTTGGGGCTGTGCTGCGTGTGGGGCCGGGGTACGGGTTCAAACCTGGGCTCCTTCTGGTCAGGGAGGCGGATGAGGCTTTGAAGCAGTGACTGTGACTTTCCGTTCTGAAGGTTATCCAGGACGTTCTGAGCTGTCTGTTTGAGGGGCTGTGGGTTGTTTTGAGGGGGAGCAGTGTTTTCCTTTGCCTTCTCTTTCTTTTTCTTCTTGGCGGCGCGATGGTGCTGCATCTCTTGCAGTCGGAGCAGTTCCTTTTGAAGCGCTGCCTCCTCCTCGTCCTGCCGCTGTCGCCGCTGCTGCTCTTCCAACATCTGCAGCTCCTCCCTTTCACGGGCCTCTGCCTCCAGGCGAGCCTTCTCCTCCATCTGAAGCAGAGACATACACTTTTAGCATGATGACACCTTTGACTCAAAACATAGTAAGTCTGCAAAAAGAGCTGTGCATTAAATACTACCAAATTCTCAAGACCACCTATTTGTTAAAGACTTGAACTAATAGAGTGCCACAGTGACGCGTCCTAAAACCCGGAAGTAAACTCCTTCCGGTTCCTTCGACAAAAACGCAATGCAATTTCTCCATAGGACTTTGGAAAATAGCTGGAAATAAGGTCTGTAGTTGAGACACATTTAAGAGACGGATCACGTTTTGTTCAGCCGGATAATATCCACATGTCTACCCTACTTTTATCATTTTCTAATCGTAAATCTAGTCGCCAGAAGCAAAATGCTAACGTTATGCTATAAACGAACTACAGCAGGGTCGCTGCTTCAACGTCACGCCAACTTAAGATCCATATTCAAAAATACAGATTCTAAATGGTGCAAGTTGAAGCGTTTGTTTCAACAGTTTGCAGGAGGCAGGTACTTGCTTTCAAGCAGAACACGGGGAAAAACAAACTTGACGGGAGTGTTTACGTGTTCGGCGTAATGACGTACAACGTCCTCGACAACTTCTGTAGTCCTATTCAGCCACTTGTTAACAACCATCGTTTTTCAGACACGTAAACTCTTCAAAAATCACCAGTGGGGTCACTGCTGATGTATTTAATGTCGTAGAACAAAACGTGATCAGTTTCTTAAATGTGTCTCAACCACAGACCTTATTTCCAGCTATTTTCCAAAATCCTATGGAGAAATCCCATTGCTTTTTGGCGAAGGAACCGGAAGTGGTAAAATGCTAACTTACTTCCGGGTTTTAGGACTGTGGCACTCTATAGGGAGGGATGTTTACCTTCTTCTGTTTATGCCTGGCCCGTTTGGCTGCCTTAGAACTGGAGGCAGGTTTATTGTCGGCACTATTGATGAACTGCAATAGGTCCTCCACCCGCCTGTGGTCCTCCACTCCTCCATCTCGCTCTATCACTGGTTGCTGCTCCTCACGTTTGGGCTGCTCCTCCTTACGTTTTGTCAGACGCAAACGCAGCTTCTCCCGCATCTCTGCATAGTTTCGACTGGTAGGAGCAGCTGGGGGCTGAGCATAACAAAAGAGAGTGATCATTAAAGATAAAACATTTAATTTGACTTATAAACTATAGTATGGCTGTGCGATTATGGCAAAAATCATAATCACGATTATTTTGGTCAATAATTGATATCACGATTATTAAAAACAATTATCCATTTACTTTGAAAACATCCATATATTGAAAAAAAAAATTTGAACAGTATGTTTTTAACAGTTGATTACCCTGAACTTTAAGTATAATTAAACTGAAAAACCAATAAAAAAAAATATATATATATATATTTTTTTATAAAAATAATAATCGTTTATTTTGATTACATTGTTTTCGTAATCGTTGCAAGCCAAAATCGTAATCGAGATTAAAATACGATTAATTGCACAGCCCTAAACTATAGTATGATACACTATATCATGAATGCCTTATTTGTATTCTGTACATTAATATTGTTAAGATACCAGTCATATTATCTTCCCAGGTAATTCCCAATTCATGTGGTTGCCGTTGTTTACATTGCAAATTCAAAAATGCAAAACTGGAATGGACCTTGTTTCATTGTGTTACAAAAAGACAATCAATTATTCTTGAATCCTCAAAAGGGGATATTATCTTTATAAAATAAATGTATTTCACCTGTTCTTTGAACGAAAGCAAACAGTTTTTAAATCTTCTTTAAAATTCTTCAAGGGAATTCAAAAAAGTACCTACATTTGCATCCCCTAAAAACATGTAAATATGAGGCGACTATGCTAATTTCAGTGAGTAATAAATGTGTGCGTCTTACCCCGCCGTGCCCAAAGAACTCGCAGTAGCAGCAGTCACAGTACTTTCCTTCCTTCTGGTTGGTGGAGGTGGAGGTGGAGGAGCTATGCTCGGAGCAGCTGTCCTCGTCCTGACTCTCCTCCCCGTCGTACGGCTGGTGCTCGTACGCCCCGTTCCCCTCACAGCGGTGGCCTTCACAGTCAGGATCACTGACAAAAGAGAGAGAATTACAACTGGTTTCCTCATTTAACATTCACAAAAACCAAATGACCTTTCAATACATCAGTCTTAGTCATTACATTTAATAATGCCCATCATTAGGAGTGTACAGGATGTGGTGGGGGTCTCACCTGCAGACGCTGGGGGGGGCACTCACAGGACCGTCTGCTGAGGAGGTCGGAGGCTCGGCGGGCGGCAGGCACAAACCCTGGTGGGCCTCCATGAAGTCTGGTGCTGGAGCAGCCATCTTTGGAAAGGGCTGGGAGCCCATTGTGGGAAGGTGTGTGGTGGGGGCTGGGGGCAGGGTGGGGCCCGAGAGTGGAGGGAGGGAGGTCAGTCCTGCAGGGCAGCTTCTGGGGGGGGCTGGAGCGGGTTGTCTATGGTCCTCTTTACCTAGATTGTGAAATACATCGTCTAGAGGAGACAAAGAAGTGTGGGTTGAGAGCATTGTTCAGTTCTTCCAGGTCCCAAAACAAACTCACAAAGCATTTAACCAATGAGGAAAGTCACACTTAAAATTAAAATCGACTTAAGTTTTGAATGTATTCGTTTAAAATGTAATTAGTCTCAAAGTGCATTTATGATCAATGCTAACACCTAAGCTAGAAAATGCAGTTTAACCTCTTTTTACATCTATATAACTACAGTTACTTTTCCTTACACAAAAAGGGAGGAAACATTTCAGTTCAACTTTAAATCCGGACTGTGACAGAGTACATGTCTTTTACAAAAGTAAAAAAAAAACACAAAGGCAAAACATTTTCCCTTATAGGTTTAACAATGGCAGACCCTCCCCCTGTAATAACTATGTCCCATAATTGAGTCATCATCATTGCAAACCTAACATTGCTCCTACTGCCTATTTTACCTAAAGAGTTGGGTCTTTTAGATGCTAGGTGGATGGGGGGGTTATTACTTGACTGCACAGTGGTGGCGGTGCAGGACACGGAGGACGTGGAGGCGGAGGTGGCCATCACTACTCGGTTGGGCTCCATGAAGGCATCCTGGAAATTGTAGAGACACTTCTTCTTGGCGCCACTCTTCTTCTGCTGTTTGGCTTCGGAAGAGGAGCATGACGACGACGAGGATGACGATGAGGAAGATGACAGAGATGAGGAAGCGGAGCAAGAAGGGGGCAGAGGGGTGGGCAGCGAGGGGTGTTCCCCTTGGGGGCCTATAGACGATGTTGGGGGGAGGGGAACGTCAGCGAGGGGTGGTCCAAGCATGTCACCTGTTTATAGAAAAATCAAAGTTGTTATTTTGATTCTTGGACTTTGTTTTTATCGGTTATCTTTAGTGTGCCATGGCGGCTCACCTGGCAGGGACTCGGGGAGCAGCACAGATGGATTCCAGCTCTTCATCACGGCAGCATCCCACAGGTTCTCGAACTTGAGTGAGAGGCACTGCAGCGAGCTGTTCCAGTCGCCTGCTCCACCCGCACCGCCAAAGCAGTTCTGGTAAACGTGATCCGGTAACGAAGGGCTGAAGGCCGGCTGCTTGGCCGCTGAGTGGTTTGATGTAGGGTTTGGGGGTAGAGGCTTAAAGAGAGAAAAGATAAGTTACAACAAATGTGACACTCATTTGGGGTTATGATACTAATACTTGATCTCTTTTTTTTTTTGTTTAGTACTTTTTTCCGGCCATTGTGACTTTGGATTAATTTAAAAATAGATAAAACAAGATGAAATGGATATTTAATAATGATAATAAAAAGAATTATAAATACTATAATAATAATAACTATTATATAATTATCTTAATTATCATAGTTTATATAAAAATAGGATGAGAAATGAAACTGTCTTGTTACAGTATCTTAACATAGACTTGTAGGATTTTTTTTTTTTTAACTTTATTATTTTATTTTCACCCTGGAAATGGGTGTATGTATGTATATGTGTACATATGTATGTGTATGTATAGAATTTTGTTTATCTGTGTATATTTAATTACAGAATTATCTTTTCTTTCTTTATCCTGCAACTGGATGACTAACGGGAGGGCTACTTCTGTATAAGCCTTGCTTTCTGCCCTCCCGCTTCTACTCATTTTGATGGTTTTTCGGATGTATAAACTGTCTAATTGTTGAAATAATAGAATAAATAAATAAAAAATAAAATATAAAATATATATGAGTAGGTCTACAATGCCCTTTAAGATGGCTTTGCCTTGACATTTGGTTTAGTCTGACCCCTAGTGGGAGACATTAAAATGTCAATGGAACCAAGTGAAACTAAAAGACAACTAAGCTTAGTACTGTTCCTGGAAACTTAAAAAATCCCCAGTGATAAGGAAATGAATCAAATTTCCCTTAAAAGGGACTCTCATAGCTATAAGTCGTCACTTTTAAAATAAAAGTATCTCCGGCTTTTGTATGTATAGACTCAAAACGTGATTCTCCTCACCTTGTGTGTGAGAGGAGGACTGGGGGGGTAGAGTGTCGGGTGCAGTAGGGGCCGGGAGAAGTTGTGAAGGGGCATGTGGCCGTGGATGTGGGGGTACAGGTGGAGGGCAGGGTGGGCAGGGGGTGTCTTGCTGTCTGTGAAGAACTGGTGTCCGACAGTGGGAGGGGGTGCAGAGTGGAGCCGGCTGGGGGGCAGGCAGGAGGCGGGGCCCAGGGCGGAGGAGCTGGGGTCCTGGTTGCACACGTGGCACTCACAGGCATGCTGGACCTGTTCTACCTGAGAGTGGTTCAAGCAAGTTAATGAATGTGATCCTCTGCCCGGCCCTAACATGTAACCCACACTGCAACACAAACGTTCAGTCTTGTGACTAAGAGACTAGGGCGATTTGTTTTTAGGAATTATGGAAACATACTTTAAGGTAATGACTGGCTATGTAAATGATGTAAGAGTCATTTTTCTTAAGTAATTCGAAGTAAGAAAGCTTTTTAAAGTGTTACAACACCTGTTGGTGGCTGTAAGAGGGTGGAGGACTGTTGGTCTGTCCTGAGGAAAGTTCCTCCTGCTGCCCTCGGGGCTCTCCACCAACCTCACCATCGACTTCCTCCTCGTCACCCTCTGAACTGCTGCTGCTGGTCATGCGAGGAGACTGAAATACAGAAAATGAACAAAGATTACAAATCAGGAAATAGGTGAGGAACATTACTCAAAACATTTCCCCAAGCTCATTCATAATCAACTTTAGTTTCATCATGCAGAAACTTGTCAGGGAATTTCACAACTCATCTTATGACATTTTTTTATGTAACACCACGGAAACAAAACTCACCCCTGCCTTTAGTTCCGCGTTTTCACATTCCCCGTTGAGGTCATTATGGAGGCCGTTCACAGCAGCGGTCACTACACTGTTATCCTCATAACCACTCATAGGGTAGATGTCCGTGAACTTATTGGACAATGGAGGCACTTCATCATCATCACTGATACTAAAAATAGAAATGAGTATTCATGTTAGGGGAAGAACAGATGTGCAATTATGATCAGATATACCCAATACTAAACTGTGCATATGTGATTTGTCACAGACATTAAAAAGCACTGACTGGCTGACTTACAAAGTGTTGGTATCCCCTTCAGGGAGCATGAGCCTCGGGTGCTGCTGGATGGTGATGGGAGAGCTGGAGTTGGAGCCGGATGCTGAGCTGCCGGAGGAGAGGCTGGGGGGGTGCACCTCTGCCAGGTAGTCGCGGGGGGGCTCCCCCTGCAGGGGCAGCTTGATGTGGAGGTCCTCAGCGATGGGAGAGTCCATGATGCCACAGGTCAGGATGTGAGAGAGACTACAGTCGTCACACGTGCACCTGTTGGTCGGGGCGGGCGAGGAAATAATAATACTGATTTAATTACAGATGCAACTATCTATTTATAACACAAACGCCAAACTACACATTTTCTCACTTTCACTCATCAGGTGAGACCGTGGCATAATATTTAGCGTGTAATAAATTCCCTGACAACTCAAAGATGGGAAATTAAATTAGCTTTTTTAACTCAAAGCAATTGAAAGAAGAAGATCATAACAAACCTAATTTATTAGAAGGGAAAATAAGAATACTTTTTCTTTTATCAACCAAAGTTTCAAATAGTATTTAAATGTGTTACATTGGAAGAGACATGATTTCAGACCAGAAAATGACGTAGCAGTGAAAAGTTGAAACTCACCTTCTTCGGTAATTGCAGTTGGGGCAATCTGGAATATTGAGGCGAGATGAGAGCATCCTCATCGTCTCCGTGAAGTTGTTTTCGATAGACGGAGACTTCTTACTGTTAGGTATCTATAAAGAGAACACATTTTTAAAACTCCTCTGAAGTGCAAAAATGCACATTTAAATCTGCCACGATAGCTTTTTACTCTTGTTGTGTACCTGTTCTTCTATAAATCTTCTCTGCTTAAAGAACTCCCAGTCCTCCTTCAGCATTCGCTGCTTAGTCTTCAAAGTCTGGTAATGGGCAGATCATTAGAAGAACATGAACTTCCAAAATAACAGAAATACATTTTTGAAGGTATAAAAATGTGAATGTGTTCAGGTATACTTTAAAAGTCTCTTACGTTTTTGCTAATCAAGGACTTGTGTGGCTCTGTTCTTTGGTTGGTAAGACTCTGACCCTCCACCTTAAATAGCAGCTGCAAAAAAGTCACACTAACAGCTTTAGTTCAGGCGTATTCATTGATTACCACCGTAAAAAAGTAGTGTCATTTCCTGTATCAAATGTGTTGTCATGGATATGTATACCTGTTCATCTACATAGTCGTCAATCCTCTTCTCACACTCCTGCCAATCAGTAGCCACCGAAGCCATCTCCTGCTGCAGCTGATGGTAGCTTTCTAACAAGGACCTGTACATGTCTTCATTGTATGAATCATAGGAGGCCGTGCCATGTCTAAAAAAAACAGAGGCAGAATAGTCATTAAAGTCACTTGTATGGTTTAAGAAAGGGATTGTCAACCTTTGAGTCAAGAGTTGTATATTTAGGGATAATGATGGGTAAGTAGCATATCTTTTTATTGTTTTAATTAGTAAAACTATATCTTACTTCAGCTGGGCAACCAGTGCAGGTAAACTGCTGTGCAAGATGGGTTCTGAGAACACTAGATTCTCAAAAAGGTGCTTGTTGTGCAGCTCCCACGTCACCTGGAACTTCTGAAGGTGTTCATTTTCCTGAGTAAAAAGGGGTCAGAATAATAGTTGAAGCTAATACAGTAAAACTGGCTTTGAATTGGGATGTATGCCACTTGCAGGACAGCCAACACATCTCTGTGGCTCTGGCTACATAAAGGGTAAACTGACCAGGGTGAGCAGAAAGCTGCTGATGGTGCGAGCAGCCTGACAGAGGGCGTGGTACTCCTCCATCAGCATGGAGATGAACTGGTAGGCCTGAGGAGGACCCAGGGCTGCCGCCACGTTCCCTGCTGGTCCTGTGGTCTTGGGTCCTGAAGATAGGTGTTTCAGTAGCCGCACCTTCATCTCCAGGACGTATTCACGCGCCTGCTGCTCCAACCGTTGATACAGCTGGTACGGGTCCTTCTCACAGAGTCTACAGGAGGAAAATAAAGGGTTTTGTCTTCATAAATGGTAATAGAACATTTTTCAAGGGGTTTTTATTATATGCCTGATTAAAGTATGTGGTCGATATAAACATACGTAATTCCTGCATCAGTATATTGAGACTGGAAACGTTGTGGTAAAAACCAAAACCAACCAACAAACAGTTCTTTCCATAATTACACCCTAGTTCTTAAGTTTTAAATTGTTCCTCAGAGTCATTACACAGCCAAAAGTCCAGTTTGAATAGGAAATACATTACATCAAGGAAGAAAAGATGCAACTTCATCTGACCAATTATAGAAGTTTCAACTTGTTGACATCATTCCTGTCAAAGGCTGTCAGGCTTGATAGTTTTAACCGGGGCTTTTTTTCTGCATCCACAGTTCAACAGAGACATCTAGTGGACAAACACCATGAGAAACAGAAATTAGACGCAGTAGTTTTACCTATCCACCAGCTCCTTCATGCCCTCCTTGTCTCTCTCTAGAGGCTGGTCATGGTCATCTGCCAACGGTGTTCCTGTCTGACGGTAGATACAGCGCACCAGGTATCGAACCTCCGACCAGTGGTTCTGTAGCTGCTGTGACTCCCTCTCCGATTCTGCTGAAATCTCCCTGGTATCCAGAACAAAATCTCATTAATATCACTGTAAAAATGAACAAATATATTAAGATTGAATACACTTTAGTGGCCTTCTCTCTGAACTGACCGTCTCTCATTGCAGGCTTCACAGCTGCAAACTGTGTCAGCAGGCATGGGTGCGGTGAGGTCCGGAGCGGGGAGCATGGGTAGTGTAGGCACAGCAGTTGTCAGTCTGTCCCCCGGGGCCGCCTCCTGGCCCAGGTTACCGTTTCCCACAGGCATGTGTAAAAGGAAGTCCTGGCTCTGTGGGAAATATAATAAACAGCACAATAAGATGCAGAACAATTTGTACACTTTACACAAGATGATAGTGAGCAACATTTTGTAGTAAATAATGTGTTTGTTCAATCACACATTGATTTTTGCTGATTCTGTATCATGTTTTGATGTCTAAAGTCCAATACATGCTGCAACAACACAACTTTTGACAAGCACACATTTAGCATATCAACAATAAACTACAAAAATATGTGTTAAATAATATATCTAAGTATTTCAGTTGAATTCTTATACAAAGGCCATCTATATGTAGCTTGAACTGTGGGTTGTGATAATCTGGACATTCATGCTGATACACCCCTTTAATAACTATTCATCTTATTCACTGTGGCAGGTACAAGGCCCAGAAAGAAGACGTGCTATGAGCTGACAATAGAAGGAACCAAGGTACAATAGATGGGTCAGCCAATTCCAGGGCTGAGTCGTAAGCCTGATTGAGAACTTATAAAACGGACATGATGCCAACCACGTTTCTATGGGGTGAGTGTTTCTTACTTGAATCCCAAGTTGTAGTTTTGAGGTTCACACGAAGTTACTAAGATGGAAGCCTTGCTGGTTTCTGATCTAAACATTGCCAAGCGGTGGGCATATAACTATGTGCTACATTTTCTGTTCAATCCAACTGTATGCAGCCACTTCACAGTAGAAGCTTGCCAGTGGTTTGGCTCTGCTTACTACAGGGACTTGATATTCAGAGTCAGCATAATATCCTACTGCTGTAAGGATGACGTGGAACAAAACATTATGAGGAAAACAAACCCGAGCGAGGGCCAAGGCAACCACAATAAGGAAAACCAAACCCCCTGGCACACCTGACACATCAACATGAATGAACCAGCTCGACAATGCAACAGTTCGAAACGCTTGTGGTACTCAATAAGGTTTTGAGTTCACTTGCATTTGTGAACCAATGTCCAAATGTCTTCCTTGCTGTAACTTGGTGATTCAAGGTTGTACAGCAAGGAAGAATGAAGGGAGAGTGTGTTTTAGAGCTTATGTTCCAAGATACTGAATATGTACTAGCAAAAATATCATATACCCAGAGAAATGATATATTGTTACTGATAAGAGTTTACTAGCAAAATTAATTCTTTGTTGCATAACAAGATGTTTTTACCTCTACATTGGTATTGTCCTCACAAAGACGCAAGCCAAGCACATAGCCATGCGCTCTAACATAAAGGAGCTCTTTATATGAAGAGACATTAGTCTCAGCCATCATGGCATGTATACTGCATATGCCTGGGAGTATACTTACAGTCAAGCTCTAAAGTGTAAATCAAATCCAACATTCAGTGTAAAGAACATCTGTCAGTAAGGATTACACATACTGCAAAGAAGCAATATAATTCAAGTATAAATAAAGAATATATTATTGTTGGTTTTTAATCCAATGCTTTTTATTTTGCTTTTAGAACTTGACATCATTTTCTCAGTGTTGACCTAGAAACTGTTATCTTGCTATGATTTAAAGCCAAGCCAAGCCAATATATGAATTGATAGTATGTCCTTCATAACATTTATTTTTACAGAAACAGCTGTTACTTCTGGTTGCTCCTCTTTTCTGGCAAAGAAATGGATGTGAACAGAAGAGCTACACCCTCCAGTGAAAGACTGACCGCAGCTGTGCGAGTTAAACTGCAGATACATGGCGTCAGTGCAGAGACAAATATTTGGAAACTGAACCAGAGGACCAGCCTTTCTTTCACACCTTTTCCACAACTTAAAGACCTTTACTTGTCTTTAAAGAAAACGGTATCCTTACCCCCAACGACTGCTCCAGAGCAGTGTGCCTGTCCTCCTTCTCCACTGTGCGCCTGCAGTCGGAGCACACCCACAGAGGCAGCTGGAGGGCACTGGGTGTTTTGTTGGGCTGAGCCGTTCCATTCTGGCCGAGGATCCCCGCCTCTGAAGGCACCGCGCTGTCTTTCCGCTCACATCGGCACAAGAGGCAGCGATCGCCGGCCGTGTAGGGAGCCCGTTGGTTCAAGCCGAACGTGAATGGGGTCTGAGGTGAGCATGTTGGTAGGAGGAAGAGGAGAGAAAGATATACCGTAAGCCACTTAAGCATTTGCAAAAACAATTAAGGGTGGACGATAATTTATTTGGTTATTTAACGTCACTCAATTAAATCGTACTGTGATGAAATCTGTTATCAAAACGTGTTTCTCTGAAAATCTGATCACACTCGGTTCAATTAAACTTTGGTTTTGTCTGATCCATTTGATTTTGTGTTTGTAGGTTAATATATATATTCAGTGCAGAGCTGGTAATATTTATTTATTCGCTATAAATTATTTAAAGTTCTTAGTAAAATTAGGAAATAATCATTACTTTTCATTTGTCAAGACTTTAATTCACCAAAGAGTTTACCATGTGGTTATTTCATATGGACTATTTATTTATTGAAATACAAGAAAACATGCTATATTGCGATATATATTATCATGATATGAAATGACCTATATTGGTATAGATTTTGGCCAATTCACCCAGCCCTAAAAACATAAATATACAAAAATGTTTTAATCATTTCATAAAGAACATAATGGGCTTCTTTGACACAGAATCTGAATAATTCAGTGTTCAATTCATATACTGAAATACAATGGAATGATGCAGTTATTTTGTATAGGAAACGTAATAAACATCAAACCATATCGATCAATATGTCAAACTAAAGCCTTCCCCTGAAAATGATGTGCAAATTGAAAAAATAGGCTCCAGATGGACATTCTGCTAAATGAAGGCAGATCCACCTCTCTTCCTCTGCAAGCTATTGCACACTGCACTTTGGGAACACCAGCTGTTTAAATTGCCCCCCTGCACTCCATTAAAACACTGGAACCTTTTCTTAATGTGCAGCCTTGTCACCGAGTGAACCACAAAGTGGCACAAACACATCATTAGAAGCCAGGAGTTTCAATTAATGATCTTCACATTGCTGCTGTTTGACAGAAGGCAAACTGTCTTAAGGGATTTTAAATAGGAGGTGGCTTTACATCTGTTTAAGCAACATTTTATAGGAGATGCTTACGTTTCCATGAGGTTTTGATCAGTGCTGTGAGTAACTCAAGTTAATTATCTCCTTCAGCAGTGATATTTTCTGATTTCATTCAAAAGGCGAGTACAAAAGCAATATGTTTTAGTTTGCCTGTTTATTTTGGTAAACTGCAATGATTAGGGGCGTAACAACTGAAATAGACACATAGTTTGAATCAATACAATGTGATTGTATACCAATCAAATCCATTTTCTAAATGTTTTATATTATAAGTATATGTTTTTTGCTATTAAGATAACTTTGTCAGCATATGATAGACAGTGTTTACAACATAACAAAAACAACCAGTTGTGTGGACAAAAACATGAGGTAGCACATTTAACAGCCACATTTCATAATTTGAACCAGCCTAGGGTGAATAAATTATTGATTTGCTGTGTGTGCTGGAAAAAAACAATACACAAAAAAACAATTACAGCACAAATAATAACTTACCATTTTCAAGTAAAGCTCGTAATGCTGATGATAATATGATTTTACAGTCTACGGATTGATATTATTTCACCGCACAAGATCTTTGTAACAGAACCATCAAAAGTTTGGTTTAGGCAATTGTTCCAGTGTAGAAAATAATGCGATGACAGACAATTTAAATATGGCTAAATGCGGAAAGCTGCATTTGAGTCATTGGCACTATGACACTGCTTTTAAAAGAGTGCTGCAGAGACTAGAATTACGGTTCTAATTGATCACTTAGGGTGGGCAGGCACAGTACAAGGATGTGTAGTGTGAAGACAGATGTTAGAGCATCTTCTTGTCAGTTGTTGCAGAGGGCACAACTGTGTTTGGAGCCCATCAGAATTGAATGTATGAATGATATTTGTGACAGTTGTCTCACTGATTGTTTTAGAATATATGAGTAAAGACAAATGAAAGACCACATAAGTAATTTTGTAGTGCATTCCCAAATTGCATTAATTACATAAAGGTGTTAATTATGTGTGAAACATGGTATATGGCTTTAAATGCATTTTTGAAACCTGATGTAAATGTACCTGAAGGACCCCGGAGAAGTCAGCATTCACTGGTCCTTCTGTAAACTGTGGTGTAACACTGTTGTTGACTTTGACCTGAGGGATAAAAACAACTTAATTAGAGATTACTTCTATTGACTAATTGGCTTGGTTATTGACAACATCACACATCAAAATATCTACCTGGTGAAGTAGGATATGTTTTTTCTGAGTATAGGTTATGCCCATTTGAAGCAGAAGGTCGTTAATACAGTCAGGCACTTAGAAAACGTACATGTATACACTTTTTATTCATTTAAGAAGGGGAAAAAATGTGTGTGACAACAACATATCCATGTTTTTAAATATCATGAAGCACTTCTTAGGACATTCATTTCTTATGATGAATAGTGGAAGTATATGATGTGCAAGATTTGTTTGGATGGAGGGGTCACAACATACAAACAATGGGTACTTGTTAGGCTGCATGTATCATAAACATACACACTTAGTAAGTGAAAGACTTTGTTTACCTTTATAGTCTAACATTACATACAGAAATATAGAGAAGATAGGGTTGACTGCCATGCAAAATGACTAAAGTTATAGCTACATGTGTGATTTGTGACCCACCATAATAAACGTATGAACTGACAGTTAATTATTAAACATGGGCCAGTTAGAAGAAACTAGCTAACATAACCTTTGTGCAAATGGTGTATAACTAGGGTACTTTGGTAAACTGGACTTAGTTAGTTGATTTGGGATATTATGTGGACATTATAACCAAGTTAAACTTCTAATTAGCAAGTAAAGTGTAAGGTCAGCTTGTAGAAACACATCGAGGCCCGCCGGGGCTTGAGTTGTTGGTACACTTCACTGTTAGCATTAGCTAGCATTAATGTTTATGTGTTATAGCAGCCTATGCCCCAGCCGTGTTGAAACCAACTGTGCTCGGGAATAATCTTGATTTGGCCAATGTAATCTCCACCTACCTGGACTGTATTAGCTCAAAATAATGCTTCATGGTGTCTCTAGTTGTTGTCGATTCAGCTACGGTCTCTCAACTTGAGCTAAGGATGGCAGTCGCAGCGTTCGGCCAAGACCCAAGTGCCCTAATGTTTACGACAGTTTATTGCATTATAATATGGCCAGTTTAACCACACAGCCATTCACAAAGCATAATAACAAGTCTGAGCGGCAATTAAGCCAGTTAATTTGAAGCTACATAGGTCAACGTTAGTTAGCTAGCTGCCTTCTTCGCATCAGTGTCGGGCCCAAATCAGATGTGTGTCGTTGATAACGCTGCTAGCTAGTCGCCCGGTTTGACATCCACTGGGTTACATTGCGTGACACTCTTACCTCTCCGTTGAGGCCCGTGATGGAGCCGATATTCCCGCTGCCTGTGCTGCCAGATGTTAGAAAGCTGACGACGGAGGCAGGTGTTGCTGTTCCCGCACAGCCAAGGGCCGAGGCAACCCCGGCCTTGCCACCACTGGTGTTGCAGACAGCACTGCAACTACTGCCACCGCCCCGCTTGTTCTTCCTTCGTTTAGCCCCTCGTTTAGCATCGGTTGGACTCATTTTTGTCCACAGAAGAAGCGAGACAACTTGCCGTCCACACTTGGCAGGGTCTCGAGTGGAATGCCAGGCGCAATCACTAGGGTATTAATCCGGGATAGCGATTCAGAGACTCCAAAAACGACAGATACTCAGTTCCATCAAAGTGCAAGCCGACTTCATATATTCCAATATGGCCTCTAGCTGGACTGCCTTGGTGCTTGCGTTGCAGCGCAGCTTTGCGTCTCCACTGCCGGGGCTTATGGGAAATTGAGTTTGTTGTGTAAAATCGCATCGTAGCAAAGAATCAAGTTACAGTTAACAAGTCGTGGATGTGGCTAATATTTAACCATTAAAGATTAACAATTGACCAGAATATTATTTTCCTCAGTGTCGTAATTTTACCTTAAATACTCATGCGAACAATATCTTAAAACCTGCACAACCCTTTGAACATGTTGCACATTTCTTCACCACACTACATATTTTTAAATATGCACAGCTCTTCCTTCTGACTATAGTACTTGAATATATTATTTGTCATATTTTATTTTTATTTTACCCTAGGCTACTCAGTTTCTTACATATATTTTGTGTAAATAATGTCATTATTTAAAAAAGCTTTTATCCAAACAACATAGGCCTATTCTTCTTTCTGTGTCTTTGTATGCACCATTTACACCAACGCAAATTCCTCGTATGTGTTAACCTACTTGACAGTAAATCCGATTCTGAGTCTGATTCTGATTAATAAATGAATTTATTTTAGACATTGGACTCAAACTGCAAGCACCGTGTTCTAACAGCAGGGGGAGAGCGCATGCTGCAAATGATGTAGTCTGCTTCTGATGACAGCCGAGGGCCGCAGTGGATCAGTCTTTCCGGGGTTCACCCAGCAAGTCTAGTGTGCTCAAAGAGAGTCGAGGACCATCGATGATAACTTGGTAGTATATCTATGCAACGTTTGCATTAACAGCAAGCACCAACGACTTCAGCTCACCACAGCAACAACGGCTATTCCAGTTAACTACAGCAACAACGGCTAGTCCGGTTAACCAAAGCAACGGCTAACAGCTCTTAGCTAAAGAGTTAGCCACGACCGCAGACAGGTAATGTGAACTAAAGTTTTAAGCATCGCATTTTCCTTGCATATATGGCAAAATATGAAGGGAAAACATGATTAAATTAAGTTTTTAGAATGTTAAGTTATCTACGGTTTAGCTAGGTTGACGTTAGCAAACACCACGTCAACGGTTCTGACACATCTCAAATTAGTAGACAGCTATAAGCTAACCAATGAGAGTCAAACTACACACAATGCTTCTTTAATGCTTGCTAAACCATGAAATATAACAATAATTTGTCATTATATGATGTGTTGTTACTAGCATAAGTATTTGTGTTACTTTTGTCCTCCTAGTTAGTCACGTGACGGTGCTCCAACAGGTAACTGCTAAAGTAAAGCATGAGCGCATGAGAGTGTGTTCCGGTGTGTGGTGTAGAGAGAAGTAGAGCAAACATTGTGACAAAAGCTGCGATGCTTCATTAGAAAGAATAGCACCCACGTCGTTTCCTGTGTAGCTTTATGTCACAAATGTACCAAACCTATACCAGTAATCACACATGAAACTGGAAATCTGGAAATACACACATTTATTTTGCCTTGTCAGCACTTGGCTCACATATATGTATCCAAGACTATCAGGGATTTATCTCATTGCATGCTTAGCACTGTGAGTTGAACAAAATGATATTACATTTATTTACAGGCACATACTGGGGTTCGGTTTGTATTGCATTCCTATATTTTACTGAACCATAAGTTGTCAGCTGGTATTGTAGGATTTTTTTATATCCTTCTATCTGTCTGTTTTCAGGTATGTCTGAAGTTAGTCTTGAGGCTGAATCGGGGAAGACCTCACCTGAGGACCCTCAGCTGGATTGTGAGGGGGAAGACAAAACAGAAGAAAGTGTTAGTGAGGATGTGAGACAGGACAGTGTAGACGACGGTAGTGGAAGAGATTACCAAGATGATGAGATGGACGAGATTGATATTGACAGCGCTGAAGAAAATGCAGAAAACGGTGATAAGGCCATTCAGAAGGAGGATGAGGGCATTCAGAGAGAGGGTGTGGTGATTCAGAGAGAGGGTGTGGTGATAAGCAGTGAAAGTGATGCTGCACACATGTCTGCTAGTGCTAGTGTAGAAAATGAGGGACCTGAGACAAACCATCAAGTTGAAACTGCTGAAACACCAGAGGAAAGTGGAGATTCTGACACTGAAACAAAGGTGATATTGTCGTTCACTTTGGACACTCTTCTAGCACTTGCTCTCTGTGCTCTTGCTGTTATCGATCTTTACTTGCTGTGATGGTGATGATCTCTTTCCTATAAAAATTAATTTACTAAAATATTGGATTTAGCTGTGAAGCTTAATCATATTATTCAACAACATCAGATCTTGTTTGTTTCTCCTGGTAGATGTATTTCAGATTTCCTTCTGCTTTGCTGGAGGTTATGAAATATAGCTGGTGTAGCTGTTGCTCTGTGTTGACGGTGCAGTAGTCGGTGGCTTTCTTTCTTTTACTTGTGTGTTGCTCTGTCAGGTGCTTTGTGTGTCTGGGGGTAATCAAGGCGTCTTACGTTTCCTTTGTTTTGTATAAATGCTGGCTTATCTCAAGTGATTGCTGAGATTTGTCTTTGCTGCTTATTACAACGCAAACTTGAGTATAAAATGTAAGTGGGTAAGTATATACTTTTGTTTTTGCCTTCTTTTGTTGGACACTCGTTGCCATTGCTACGTGTACATGATGTGTTAATGATTACATTTCTTCACAATGTTTCCCTGTTTTGTAAGTGGGGTGTAAATAGAGCTCTAGAGTTCTACATGCTGTCACGTGGCTGGGAAAGTCAAACGGATTTGGACTCCTGACTGCACATTCTCCGGCAGTCCCACATTTCTTGTCTCGCTGGAATGTGTGACTCCTCAGGCTCTTGATTTACGTTCTCTATCGGGCTCAGTGCCACTATTGCAAGTCCAATTGCAATCATTATTTCTTTGTAAACCCTCTTCATTTACTAAACCACAGTTGTAACCCACAATTTCCAGATCTTACTTTAAGATACATCTTTAATCCTTTCTGCAGCCTTAACCCAGCAATTTTCAACAGGATAGTGCTCTTCCGTAGTTTGAGAGTCAAGCCATGATTCCTTCAGCTGACGCAGCTAATTGGACAATTAGTTTATTGTTGTTATCGCTTCCTCCCACGTCATGTTTGCTTGTATCCAGGATACTGTTGGTAACGGCACAAGATGACTTGCCATACCTTGCCTTTTCATTTCCCTACTTATCTTTCAGCCACTCTCCTACTCTCTGTAGGCTGACATACTATTCGCAAGCTTCATGCAAAGTGTTTCCAGATGTTGGGTTGGACCATTTTGGCTCTGAGATGCCTGATCATCCCTGGATCCTTGGCTTAATCAGTCCTATTACAAAAACAATATTGTATTGGGAAAATCAATATAGTAGTGCAAGAACTGCAGATGGATAAATAATACATTGAAAAAACCGTTGTGCAATCCGACTTCATTTACACCCTTTTTTCGGAGACGTGCCTTGCCTGTTTAAACTTGATTTCAGAGGTGATTGGGCAGCACTCTGTTATTTGCAGTAGGCTGATAGACAAGCCAACCCTTACCTGTTCTGATCTATGCCGGGGTCATATAGCCTTAAAGTATTTATGTCACTGTCACATGACACAACACCCAAGGTAAAGTCTTTGTCAAGCATTTCTACATATAACCTTGACTTTGGTCTATATTTATTATGTCATAATAGGGTTGAGTCTATCGGTTTTTTGAAACATATTTTTTGATAAGATTATTACTAACATCCTAACACAGCAACTTCTTTACAAAAGGCGTTCTTCTCCCTTTCTTTCTTTATAAACATACATACCGTATCAAATGACACATTGTGATCAAAGCAAAACACTGGGCTATATCTTGTAGTATTTGCAATAGATAACCCACATTCTTTTACTATACACAAATCAGTTAAACTAGTTTTAAAAGACCTATCAGGTTACTTTATAATGGGTTGTCTGAAATTGGTGTATTCTCTCAATTGGACTCTGAAGTTACTTTATGGTAATGTACTTCGTTATTTGGAAAAAAGAGGAAACCACATATTTATATATCTATTTTTTTTTTCTCTATGCGTTTCCCTTAATTTAAGTCACAGTCTGAACTAGAATACAATATATTAGTTCCACAATGAAGGGAATTGTACATGGTTGTTAAGAAAGACTTAATTTACAAAATACATTAAAACCAAACAAGTAAGCTTTGTTATTAAATGTGTTATTGGTAAAAACCCATGTTTTAAACGGACTCTTGGCCCACACAGTGAAACCTGTTGCTGAGTTCAGACAAGACCCATATCTTGTTTCCTGCTAGCTATCTGCATTATTTAGACACCGGTCAAGGTTTACCTCTAGCTGAAGGATCTTGTTCAAAGAGAGAAATTCAGATTTATACTACATTGTTTCCTTGTTACCTCCTCTGCCAGGCATGTCACTAATCCACTTTAAACTGCTGGACCTCACATAGCTGGCATGTAAAGCTTGTTTAGTGTTTAGGGCAGTGTTCTAGTTCCTAAGTCCACTGTGATTAGGCCACAGGTTGCACTATAACAAATCTGATGCTGCAAACGGTTGTCTCCAATGGGTGGCCTGCTACAAGCCAAGATGTAAATGTGCAGCTATTCAAACAAATGTTTTCCTTGGTCAGTTCAACCAACAGGATCAATTAAAAGGGACTAAATGTATTTCACAAAGACTATAACAGGTATTTCCTTGTAATTGTTGACTATATTTAAGGAAATTGTTGGTCCATTTGTGTTTTTTCATCACAGGATTTTCCACATTGGACCACATAATGACCAGTTATAAAACATAACGCACAGGGTTGAATGTGGTCTGAATGTCACTGTAAAACATAAAGCCATGTATTTGCAAGTAAGCGATTCGAGGAACATGGCAACAAGAAACCAGATATTTTCAAGGAAAGGGTTGTTGCTATGGAGAACAGCAGATGATAAAGATCAGTGCTTCCCCTCCATTGGCTGCGCCCCGCCAACGGAGCCCCGCGCCCCCCCTGAAATTCAAGGTGTTTTAAAAAATATATATATATGTATAGCACCAAATTGCAACTGAAG